ATAAGAGCTGGAAATAGGGAACCCAGGAGAGATAAGCCCCTCAGGACCATACCAGGAGGGGAAGGGAAAGTGGAGGGAGAAAGGGGGAACCAATCACAAGATCTACCTATAACCCCCTTCCCCGGGTGATGAACCACAGCAAAGTGGGTAAAGGGAGACATCAGTCAGTATAAGACAGGAAAAAATAATAATTTATAAATTATCAAGGGTTTGTGAGGGAGACAAGGAGGGGGGAAAATGAGGAGCTGATATCAAGGAAGAGCTCACATAAAATGTTTTGAGAATGATGGCAACAAAGGTGCAAATGTGCTTGACACCATGGATGCATGTATGGATTGTGATGAGTTGTATGAGCCCCCAATAAAAGGATTTATTAAAGTAGAAAGAGGTGTAAAACCACTGGCTTCAACCCACGTGGCTCCTCAGAGGAAATCTGCTCCTGCATCTGTTGCCCTTAAGTTGGCGTCCTCGCCTCGGCTGCCTGGCAGGTCCCCAGGCGAAGGCTTTGTCCCCAACAAGGCTGGCTGACCACCACGTGCCTCTCCCGCCACCCCCGTGCTTCCCAGACGAGTGGGCACTGTCCAGTAGGCTTGTTAGTGGGCAAAGGGAGGAAGATGAGAGCGACCCTCATACTGCTGATTAAGTGTCCGTCCTTGACACCCCTCCCCTCCCCCGTGTGCCCTTTGTGTCCAGAGGTGACTGGAAACGAGGTGAACAGGAGAGTCTGAGCCTCCTCAGCTGAGTTCCAGGCCCAAGCGGACCCACCAGCTGACCACGCTCCTGTCCAGAACGCCACGCCCTGCTCCTGGGGAGACAGCACGCGCCTGGCAGGAGCTCTCGGTCGCTTGTGCTACGGGGCAGTGCAGCAGGAGCACGTCCTGGAGCAGGAAGAAAAGCCGGCCGGGCTCGGGCACCAGGTGCCACGCTGCATGGGGCAGACGGACCAGAGCACCCAGACATCTGAGGTGGCCGCTCCGAGCATCTCCACCGGGAGCAGGGACTGGTAACATCCCCTGTGCCAGGTGTGCTGCTCTGACAGGATTTCCTGTTTGGGGAAGGCACTTTCTGAAGGGCCCCGTCGGTGTGAGACTGGCCAGGGCAGCAGCAGCCCACTGGCCGAGGTGATAGACGCCAAGGGAGAGTGAACGCCTCCTCCACGGTGGGCGAGCCCTGCCTCTCGCTGCACAGGAGGGCCCCCCAGTGTGCCCCAGCCCAGCTCCTTCGGCTTCCCCACACCACACACGAAGCACCGAGAGGAAGTTGCTTTAATCAAGGGGTGACGTCCTCAACCAGGGGACCTCACTCACTTTTGGTGGTGGGGCCTCACCCACCCCACACACGCCCTGAGGCTCCCGAGGAAGCAGGGAGCAGCCAAACAGCAAATACGGGCAGAAGCCAGGGGACGGGGACACCTGGAGTGGGGCACTGCCAAGCTGGGCAGGGAAGCTGAGTGGGGCAGCAAATTGATAGCCCTGATTCTGCCTGGGGCCGGCTGAGGGGAATCGGGCACAGCAAAGCCAGGTGCTACTCAGGAGATGAGGCGGCCGTGAAGCTGGTGCAGCTGCTCCTGGGTCAGCACCAGCCGGTGCCGCTGCCCGAGGCCCGCCGCACACGAGAAGGTCACTTTCCCCACGTAGACGGTGTCGTCCCGCTGCTCCTCCTTGGCCTGTTGGGGTGGGAGGGGCACAGGACCCCCGGTCAGCGGCTCCTTCGAGCTGTGGGCATGCTGGGCCTCTGAGCACGGAGACCAGGCAGCCCTGGGGAGTGTGGTTTCGGGCTTTCCAGGCGACGGCGACCACCCTTCAAGTTAGACGAGGCTGTCTGACAAGAGAGCCTGCGCCCTCACTGTGGAATCGGGAAGACGTTCGGATGGGGACTCCGAAGTCTGCACACAGCGGTGGCTGCGCTTGTGAGTCCGACCCGGAGAAGCCACAGGGTGCAACTGTGGCACCTGGGACTTTAGGAGCCCTTCACACGCGGCAAAAGGTCTTGCCCACCTCTGCCCACATGCCCTTACCCTGAGGAAGGCCGAGGATGGGAATGTGGCAAAGTCCGTGGGGACGGTGGCTCCAGGGCGCTGAGAGACCGTCTCCTTGAAGACCTCCTCCTGAGGGGACAAGAGGCAGGGTTCACCGAGAGGACCCCACAGCCGGCGCTGCCCCCACCCCGTCCCACCCTGACCTCGGTTCTGAGAGACCGGAGGAACTCACGATCCCGACAACAAGCCGACCTCATCTCATTCTGCTGCCACCCACACTGAGCACCTCAGTCAAGGACCTGCCTCCCCTGCCAGCTCCTCCCCACGCGCCGGGCGGCAAGGACAGGGCAGGGCCTGGGGACAGCGTGGGCTCAGGGCTCCTGCAGGGAAGGCTCAGCAGGGAGCCCCACGTGGTGGGGAAGGGCAGGGGCCGAGCTGACCTTGAGCTTCTCGATGGTGTCACTCAGTCCCTTGAGCTGAGCCACCTGCTCCAGGAGCTGGGCAGACGGGCTTTTGGAAGCTGCGGGGGGAGAAGGCTGGTGAGACAGACCCACCTGGGCGTGGAAGGGCCGGGCGTGTTATCCCAGAGGTGGGCAGTCCCTACCGGGGCTGGTGCGCGTGATGTCCACCACGTGGGTGTGCGTGCTCAGCTGGTTCAGCGTCTCCAGCAGCTGGCTGGTCTTGCGATACAGTGCTCCTGCTGCCACCTCAGGGTCAGGGCCCTCGTGGGCTGGGAGGGGCACCTTGGCCACATGCAGGGGAGGCAGGGCCACTAAAGATGCCTTCATCTGGGCTCCCTGTTGAGAGAGAAGAGAGCAGTGAAGGAGAGCCGTCTACCATCAGAGGACGGCACGCCCCACCTCTCTGCGGGCCTCACCTTGAGGATGCTGTTCTCATGCTGCAGCTGGGAGAGGTGCAGCCTCAGGGCGGAGATCTGCTGCAGCAGCAGGGGCGAGTCTTTCACCGGCCCCCCCGGGCCTGGCACGGACCCAGGAGCCTGTCCGGGGGCTCCTGCTGTGGGACCCAAGGCCAACATCAACAGCTCTGGCCCCGAGGGGGAAAGCGGGCCCTCACTCTTGCCCGCCTCGGCCTCCCCAGCAACCACTTCTGGCACCGCCCCCTACCCCTCCCCCCTCCCCCCGTGGGAGTCTACCTCGCTGCTGCTCTTCTGTGCGTGAGAAGCCCATGGGGAAGCAGGGAGAGGAGAGAGGAGTTAGAGGGACGGGGCAGCGAGAACACACATCATCCAGGAGCCCCCTGCCCTGCTCATCCTACCGCCTTCGCCAACAAGACCCCTCCTCTGCCCATCCTTAGGGAGAGAGCAGATGCATGGCCCTGTGGCAGGGGAGCTGTGGGGAGGAGCAGCACTGACTGGATTTGAGGGAGGAAGCTGGTGGCCCGAGGCAGCACTGGCCCTTCTACCTCACACGGCCCTCTGTGAAGGGCAGAGCGCACTGTGGACACGCCAGGGTTCCCCCAGCAAAGAGCAGGCGAGGCCGCACACAGCCCGCCATCGTTTTTCCCCACAGCTCTGAGGCCACAGCCCCACCTCGGAGGGCCGTCAGAGCTGCTGTTGGTGGCTGGGCCTGCGCCATAGACAAGGGTCATTTTGGCAATTCTACGATGGGCCACAGAGCCGTCTACAGCCAGGGAATGCTCAGCCCTGCTTGAGATCAAGACGCACTGGTGCTGGGCTTTCATGAGGAAAGGGGCCCAGGTGAGGCCAGCTGGCCAGACCCCAGAACAACAGGGGTGGTCCAGAGACCCTACAGGATTCATTCTGAGGCAAGCAGTCTATACTTCTGGAGGTGGGAAGGGCAAGTCAGAAAGCAACGGACAAAACCCTCAGTGCATGGCAGGGAGGAAGTAAGCCGGTCAAGGATCTGGGGAGAGAAAGGCTAGCAGTCAGCAAAGGACCAGGCCAGGAGTCCTGTCCACACCGGCCCAGGCAAAGCCCTGGGCACAAACCTAAAACTGGGCTGAAACTGGGAGAGTTTGAAGAGGTGAGCGCTGGGGTTCCTTGGCCCCGGTGGAATGGAGCACAGGGAAGCCAGGGGAACCCCAGGTGGAAACGCCGAGGTAGGCAAGGGGCAGCCCAGCTGCAGACCCCCAGGGACATGGCTCTCGGGTCCGCTTCCCCGTCATCTTGAGCTTCCCAACCAGCAGCACTGCCCTGCCACGGTCAGAGGCACAGAATGAGCCTGAGCAAGCACCTTCTGGCTGCACCCCCAGAGATGAAGGTGGGGCTGGAGGGCAGGGAGGAGGCGGCAGAAGTCAACCCGAGGCCAGGGCCTCAGGACACGCACTCTCCTCTAGGCCGGTGCCACCTATCCCTCATGCTCACCGCCAGCAATGCCAGAGACGAGGGTGGCGATGCCCGAGGGCGGGGCCCCACGGAGGCCCTCGATGGTCCGCTTCGACTGGCTGTTCAGCCGCTGCTTGAGTTCCGCTTTCTCGGCCTCCAGCTGGTCGATGTCGGCCTGCAGCGCGTCCATCGTCTCTTCAAACTCTCTGTGAAGGAAGCCTGGCTTAGCCGGCGTCCCTCCTGTACGCCCACCTGCCTGTCCCCAGCAGGGCGGGGCCGTGGCATCAGTCCCCCTGGGGGGCTGGTCAGGAGGCAGAGGTGGGTGGCTGGCTCGGGGGCGGTGCCTGACTTCTCCTTCTTGCGCAGCAGAGCCTGCGTCTCGTCCAGCCGCGTCTGCACTTTCTCGGCCCGCTCGTCGGCATCCTTGGCCGCGCTGTCCAGCTTCTTCTCCAGCAGGCTGAGCCGCACATTGGCCTCACTCAGTTCTTCTCCCTGGAAAAGAGCAGAGCGCTCCAAGCTCCCTCACATCCTCCAGCGGGGCTCAGCTGCCCAGAACGCCTCCCCTTCGCTCCCAACACCCCCTCAGTCCTCTTGCTGGCCCTTACCGCCCCAGCCCATTTCCTGCGCCTCCCTCCCTCTCTCACCTTGATCTTGAGTGACTTCTTCAGCTCCTTGATAACCGTCTCCCGATCTTCAAGCTTCAAGCCCAGCCCTTCAGCATCCGTGATCTCGGCACGAAGGGCCGCCGCCCGCAGCTCCACGGGGGGAGGCTGGGGTGGGGTGGGGTACACAGCATGGGTGAGAGGGGAGACTGCCAGTGCTGCCCCTTTCTAGAGACTTGGCCCCAGGGCTGCTTGCTCTTGCCTGAGGCCAGCCAGCACTGTCCACTCTGCCCTCCCGCTCCCCAGCGGCCTGTCCATGGGGCTCCAGCCCACCTTGCTGGGGGGCCGCTCTGCGTCGTACTCCCCCTCCTGCATGGCCGTGGCCAGCTTGTTCATGGTGCTGATGAGGATGCTGCAGGACTGGCGTAGGCACTCGTAGGGGCTGCTGGATGAGCTCCCGTAGATCTGCAGACCCGAGGGAAGGAGGGAGGGAAGAGGGTGGTCCCAGGTGCCCATGCCCACATCCCCCCTACCCCGTCTGCCCACCCTGGACCCACCTGCTCGCTGGCTTTGAACGCCACCTCCTCCAAGGCAGCGACAGGAAGCCCCTCGGTCTCTGCCAGCGGGGCAACGAGCTGGGCGGCCGCAGCTGCCACCTCCTGTAGCACAGCCACCACCCACGTCAGGTGCTTCCTGCCGTCCAGCAGTGTATCCGAGACCTGGCAACGAGCCAGTGTGAGGGGACATGCCGCGCCTGCCCCCAGCTCCCCGCCTGCCCCACGCGTAGCCCTGAACCTGTGTCCCGAAGGCCAGTGCAGTTGGGATCCCGGGAGCATCCGTGCCCGGCATGCGCCTGCGGATCTTCTTGCAGAACTGGCGGATGTCACTGCATGATGTCTCCAGGTCCCGGAGCAGGAGGGCGATGTCGGACGCCTCCTGCCCACCCTACTCAGGGGACAGGAGGCAGAAGAGGAGCCCCGTCAGCAGGAGAGGAGAGGGGTGGGACTGGGGACGAGGAGAGACGACAGATTCAAAGAGGTCTGGGTTTATCTCACTTGCAGAAAGGCGCGCAGTCGCCCCACCTCCACACTCATGCAGTCCAGGGCACTCTGGGTGAACTGTGGACAGAAGTACGTGGTCATCAGCCCCCAGGACAAGCCCATCGGCTCCATCCCCGTCTCTAAGAAGTCCCTGCCCTCTGCTGACCCTAAGCCGAGTGGGCTCACTGGTTCCCCTGATCTGGCCTGGGTGGGCCTGCCCTGGTCCATATACTGCACCTTGATGTGGTCAGCCAGTTGCTGGGTGCAGTCCTCAGGCTGGTCAGCCAGGTGGATGCTGTAGAGATGCTGAGGACAACCAAGCAGACAGCCTTTAGGTCCTAGGAGACGGGGGAGTTCTTCCCAAACCACAACACGAGCCCTGTCTTCCTGGGGCTCTGGGGACACGAGGGCATGAGGGCCCCAGGCAGTTACACTACATGGCAAGTTCATCTAAGAGCACGCCACGCCACACAGGATGCAGAACCCGTGGGAGGCACAGTCCTGAATAGGCTGGCAACAGCCCCCTCCCCATGCCCGCGCCCCCCAAACCCCAGGGCTTCGTTCCCTCCCAGGTGTGCGCAGACCTGGTAGTACTTGATGGCCTTGGTGAGAGGCTCTACGTTGACGGTCTCGTCCAGCTGATCCTTGTGCAAGAGCTCGATGAGGAAGTCCAGGGAGCGCTCGTGGGCACTCATCTCAGGGTAAAGGGTGCCCACCTTCTTATACACGTCCACACCACACTGGGCGAGGGCGCTGGGGGCCAGAGAAGGGCTCTGTAAGGCCCCGGGCAGCCTAGACACAGGCACCGCCAGCACAGCCCTGGCGCGGGGTGGGGTCAGGGGACACTCACTGCTCGTAGCGGTGCAGAGTGGCCTGCAGCAGGCTCAGCGAGTACACCAGGCCTGCAGCAAAGCTGAGCTGCTCCCCCGCGGCTCCTCGCAGTCCCGGCCGCTCGGAGCAGTTCTCACTAAGTTCAAACTTCTCCTGGGCCTGTTTCCGGATCAACTCTGCCTGTGGGATTCATCAAGCACCAGAGCCTTGGAGCCAGAAAGCCCAGGCCTGGGGGACACAGACGCAGAAATGCAGGACGCAGAGCCTAACAAGCAGGCACGGGGCTGGACACGTGGGCGAGCAGACAGACCGGCTCTTCGTTATAGAAGGACTGGCTTGGGAAAGGGAAACCAGTGTGCTTCCTAGGGTCTGGGGTTGGGGGTCCAGGGGCAGGGAGTGACCAGGAGGTGTGGCCAGTGGCACCAAACACTTTCCTGCCTTCAAGATGTTGCTTTGACCCTTCTCCCACCCTCGAGGACACCACCCTGCCAACTGCCGCCCCGTAACTCCCAGCCACCAGCCAAGAGCCACGTCTTCCTCCCTCCCTTCCTTCCCAGTCTAGCTCATTTAGATGCCCACCTGTGTGCCCACTAAGAAGCCACCTCTCCTTCACAGCACACATTAGCAACGTGACGCACACCCAACGTGTGGGCAGGAGAGCTGAACCACTGCCTCCCAGCAGCCTCCCCGCTGCCTGTCTCAGGTTTCCGGCGAACTTGTGATGAAGCGGCTGTACCTTGCAGATGAGGCGGGGCATGAGCAGCAGCACCAGGACACAGTCATGGTCCCCACCTGGCCGCAGAAAGCTGTCGGGCATGAAGGCTGTCAGCAGGGACATATGCCGGTTGGCCTGGGCCACCTCCATCTGCCTCAACTCCATCTCAATTGCCTGTGACACAGAGAGAAAGCAGGACTCTCAGTCTAAGTGGAGAAATCCCCAGACCCACCAGGGGCCACAGAGTCAAGTTCCCCAAATCACTTCATAAAGCACCTCTGCCCCGAGACGCCTGAAGTCGAGAGCCCCACACCAGGGCCAGCCCATCCCTTGGCCCTCAGGCCCTCCACTCTCCCCACCTTAGCATGGGCCTTGGTCTCAGCAAACTTGATCTTGAAGTCAAAGGTCTCCGGAGGAGGCTGCTGCTGCCTCTCCACGGATGCTTCCTGCTGGTTTGTCAGCTCCCGATTCACATCCTGGGAGTAGTGACAGCAGTGAGATGACAACGGGGGCCCCTGGGAGCCCTAGGGGTGATCGTGGGTGCAGAGGAAAGGGCAGGAGGGCACCTGTAGGTGGGCAGTCAGCTGGCGGTACTTCTTGATGGTTTGCTGGTAGTCTGCAACTGTCTCCTGGGCTGCCTCTACACGCTTCTGGGCCTCCCGCACCCGGGCCCCGGCCATGTCCAGCTGTTCCCGCAGCTCCAGTTCTGTCTCGCGGGCATTCTCCTGCAGCTCATCATTCATCTCATTCATCGCTTCCTGGGGGGTCACCAGGTAGTTGGGGTAAAGAAAAGGTAGGGTCTGGGTGGCAGGACCAGGTGGGTCTACTTACCACACACACACACCTTGCTCAAACACTAGGGGACACAGGTCAGTGTGTCTCTCAGCAAGACCCTTCTAAACACCTTCCCTTCCAACATCAGCAACGCAGACCCCCGCCGTCAGGGCCGGAAGCTCCTCTCTTACCAAGTCCCCCACGGTCTCCCTCAACTCCCGCACTTTCTCCTCCAGATTCAGGTTCCTGTCTGTCAGCATCTCCACCATCTCCTCGGCACCCAGCGCAGCATCCACCTGCAACACGGGAGCCGGGCGTGGAGGAAGGTGGCCAGGAAGTGTCTGGCAGGAGGTGGTGTCCGGCAGGAGGTGGTGACCGAGAGGAGGTGTGTGGGGGGCTCAGGGAGAGGGGCTGGGCGCCGCACCTGCTCCTTGAGCTCATCAATGGTGCTCTCCGCCTGGCTCAGCTCCTCCTGCAGCCGTTCCCGCTGCTGCCTCACCACTTCCAACTCCTGGTTCTTCTTTTCCATAAGTTTCTGGAGCTTCACGTGCTCCTGCTTCTCCGAAGAAGAAAGGTCCCGCATCCTGGAGGGAGGGGAGAGCATGTGGGGGACGCCCCGGAAGCCAAGGAGGTGAGACAGCTCCGGAGCCAAGCGGTGCAGCAGGCCCACCTCACGAGGGCGTCCTTCAGGCGGGCGTTCTGCTCCTCGAGCTGCTTCAGCTGGTAGCTGGACGCGGCCCCGTCTGAGCCTGGGGAAGACCACGGACACTTTCACACCTGGCCCCGGCCCCTGGGCCCAGCCGGCCCCAGTCCTTTCCTTTACCCTTCTCCTCAATCTCGGCCTTGAGGATCTCCAGGTCGGTGGTGAGCTCGTCCACACGCTCCTTCAGCGCCTCCACCTCCTGCTGCAGGGACTCGGCCCGCTCTTCAGCCATCTCCTTGTCGAGCGTGGCCATCTCGATGGCGTCCGCCGTGTCGGCCATCTCCTCCATGTACCGCTCCTTGGCCTCCAGAGCCTCCTTGGCTTCCTGGGGACGGGGCGAGGTTGGTGTGGGGCCAGGCCCGGAGAGGCACCAGCAGCCTTTCTCCTGGAGGGCCTAGCTCCCGCCCCACTTGGTGTCTTCCCTGGACCTCTCGGCCCTACCAGTCCCTCGCTCCGTCCCCAGCCCACCTTGCGCGCCTCCTTGAGGCGCCTCTGCAGGTCTGCCTGCTGCTCCTGCATCTTGCTCTTCCATTCCTGCACCTGCTCCAGCTGGATCTTGTGCTTCTCCAGCTCTTTCAGCTTCGCTTTGTCTTCTGCCCGTTTCAGGCGCAGCGTCTCTAGCTTCTCCTCCAAGTCCCGCACCTGGGCCCGCAGCCCTTCCTCCTCCTGTGAAGGGGAGGACTCCCGGTCTGTACACAGGGCAGAGCTGGAGCAGAATGTGTGCAAAGCCTGCCCAGCCCCAGGGTCGGAAGCAAGTGGGATTCACACATCCAAGAGAGCACAACACAAAACACTGGGGATCCGGATCCAGGGCAGCCTGCCCATGGCAGGAGAGCCACCTGCTGGGTCCCCTCCCTTCCCGGTCCTCTTCTGTGTGCGTCTCCCCACGCCTGGCAATCCCGAAACCTCAGCCAGGGTCCAGGCCCCCTTTGCGTCTCAGTTCTCCCTCATCCTCAGTCCCAATCCTTACCTTAGAGGGGGATGGAAGTGGGGGCGCTGCTCCAGGAGAGGTGAGGGCCGGCGTAGGGATGATGGGTGCTGCCAGCGGGGTCTGAGCTGGGGTGCTAGGCTCACTGCTGCTCAGCTCACCCGCAGATGCCGAGCCAGAGGGGCCCAGGGAGCTACTGGCCCCCGCAACCCCAGTGCTGGCTGGGCGGGTGGGCTACCAGGGACGGCAGGGCAGACCAGAAAGAGGTGATGAAGGGAGGAGGGAGAACAGGAATGTGGCAAAGGGAGGCAGGAAGGAGGCCCCAAAGTGCAACGAGAACAGAGGGGCAGTGAAGGGAGGGACAGGGAGGAAGGACAAGGACAGGAGAGGGCGGGGGGAGACAGAGATTATAAGGCACTCCTTTTGGCACTGACCCCACATTCCTCCAGCTCTGCACTCCCCCCTCAGAGCAGGGCCAGTGCCCGCCTCCCCACAACTCTGCTCCCTGACCCACTTGTGATCCTTCCAGCATTTTCTGAATACGCCCAGTCCATCTTGTCCTGGGGCTGGGGGGCCCTCCCCCTAAAGGGACAAGTGCCCCAGTATCATTCCCAGAGAGAAAGAGGGGCTGGAGTTTGTTCCCAGCAAAGGCAGGGCTAAACTGGCCATGGGTGTGGTCAGGTTCGCTACCCAGCTAGGAGTCAGGCTCGGGCTCCTCAGACCATCCCTATCAGGACCTCCACCAGTAAAGAGGCTAGCACGGAAGCTGTATCTCCCTTCTCTGGCCCCCCACTTTGAAAGGTCTTCCCACCTTCTGGGACTCGGAGCGCTCCCTCCTCTATCACCAGACAGATGGCCGTGAGAAGTACCGACACTCCGCAGCAGGACAGCAGAGCCGCCCTGCAAGGTCAGTACAGCCAACCCCCTGCCACCTCCTTCCCCCAAGACAAAGGGACTCACACCAGTCCTGACCTCCCAGCTGCCGCTAGAGGCTGTGGGTCGTAGACAGGCCTGCCAGCGCTCTCTGGTCATGCAGACAGAGCCTGCAGCTTTCCAGGGGTGCTGCCCGGCACCATGTGCCATGCACAGACACCCCCCAATTCCTCACGCCTTGGCACTTTACCATTTCTTCTCTGTTTCGCTTCTAATCCCTGACTGCAAACTAGTCATAATTCCCTTCTTTGAGAAAGTCTGCCTTAGTCAGTCACAGCCTCCTTCATCTCTCTTTCACACCCATGCCACTGGCTCAGCCAAGCCCTGAGCACCTCAAGTCATTTCCCCAGGAGGGGCTTGTGACCATTTCCAGTACGTGTGTACACACACACACACACACTCCCGCCCCACCACCACCCAAGAGAGCCCAGGAGACAGAGTGACCGACTTTCCCTTGCTCAGACACATGCACACGCGCGTGCATGGACCTGCGATGCTGTGTGCACGGGGCAGTGGCTTGCACCGAGGCTGGTTTCTCCTCACCTTGGGCCGCCGAGTGGTGGTCTGGACAGGCAACAGGAGCCAGAGGAGGAGGGTAGTCAGGGAAAAAGAAAAGAGGCAGGAAGACACAGCAAAAGGGGCAGCAGTGAGAGCAGAAGTGGGAACAGAAACGAGGCTCC